TGGTTTGTTTTCTGCTTTGGATTTGAGGCTGTTACCAGGTCAAATGTCATTCTTAGCAATAGAGAACTGGAGGATTTATCCCTTGTGCATGAAATACTGCTTCAAGGATGCTCTGGCATGAGAGACTGTAGAGTCCCGCTCTCTTTTCTTAAAATCTATTAATGACACAGCTGGACTGTGAATTTCCTTACAGACTTGGAGATTGAACTATAAACTCTGCAGGCTCCAGTGAGAGGTTTCTGGAAGGGTCTTGAACAGAATTGGGCTTTCCTGGTGGATTTGTGGTTTGGGCATGCAGGGTGTATGACGGGTGGAATGGGGAGAGGGCTGATGCTACGTGGGAACAGTAAGGTCAGAGAAGTGTGTTGGTCCCATCAGAGACACCAGGAAATATCCAGCACTGATCTGCTTGAAATGGAGGAGCAGGCAAGGGCTGAAAGGAAAATGTATTCAGTGGTGCTTCAGTACTGCTGTCTTCACAGAGGCAGCAGAGGAATAGCTCTTGTCATGGTTTCTCCACTGGGAGAGGGGCTGGGGGTGTGTGTACTTAACACTTGACTCCCATGAGGGATGTGAAGAGCCTCTCCAGGGGCCTCTCGGGACACCGCAGTCCCAGAGCCGTCTCAGCAGCAGAGGCAGAGCTGCTCTTTCCAGGGCTGAACTCATCACAGATCCATGCTACAGCAGTCTCAAATCCTCTGAACTGCCACAGTGGTTTGCAGAGCAGCAAAAGCACCAACTTACCTAGGAAGCATTGGATGGGTCACACACAGCTCCACGTTAGGTTCCCTGGGACTTCTGCTTCTTAAAGACATCTCTTGAAGAACTATCTCTGGGTCTCAGAGGTGCAGTGGTCAACAAACCCTGTGTGTAGAGAAGGAGGATAAGGTGCTTCCTCCAAGCACTTGGGAACCCCAATGCATCAGATACATAACTTAGAGCCCCCCGCTCTTAATTAGGCTGGTAACCTAATTGCTGGGCTGCTCCTTTTGGCAGTGTAACTGTGACTGTGGATGAAACAGAAAGTGGTGTGTGATGTAATTCTACCCAGGTGACCATCTGACACCACAGCATAGATGTACAGTTGTTTTCTTTTTGAACTACAAATTCCTTGTATAAGTGATGAGTTGAACAAGCTAACTTCCAGTCTTGTCTCTGCTGCTGTAAACCTGGAGCAAAGTTAGTTGACACCAAAGAGAATAAGAAACCTTGCATTTTGAAATGACTCAGCCTCAGCAGAAGCAAACTAGAAAAACAGCCAAGCTGGTGTTTCTCAACAGCTTTATTATAAGTAAAGGAGCACCCTTTTTGGTGACTTCTGAGCTGTCTTTTAGCACCATTCATTTATATAATTATGAGACCACATGTGACACCTCAGCCACATGTCTGAGGATGAAGAGTGAACCATCTCTGAGCTACCAAACACTATGAAAACCGAGCAAGTGAAAAAGCCAGAAGTCCATGTAACACGAAGAGTGCATGTTTGACAAAACCAGACAGGAAGAGGAAATTGAAAGTGATACATGCCCCAAAACACACTGTATTGCTTTTTGCCTATATGGGCAATTTCTGCTTCTTAGGATGTAACCAGATTAACCTTGCTATTATTGTCCATCAGGGTGCTGAGTCAGTTGTGTTCCTGTGGCTTTGAGAATGTCAGCTATAGGGAATCGGAAGGGCTTGTGTTTCTGGAGTGATGGAGGTCCTCGGAGTAGCTGAGTTAGAGTGCTGGGGTGCAGCTGTGGTAATTCTTAGTGACAGTTTCCAAATGTGTCTATTTTAGGCATGAGGAATCTCCACCATCTGTGTGATTTCAGCTCCTACCTTAATGCTGACTTCCTGAGATTTCCCCCTCCCTCCTGCCCTTCTTCCAATCTCCTATCTCTGGTTCCCCCTCTCCGGCATTTCATTTGAACTGGTTTCCTGCTGGGTGAAATGCACATCCTCTTCTTTCTTCCCATTCCTTCCCTTCTCTCCCACTGTTGGCAGTTTTCCAGTCCAGAAACCTTGACCTTATCTCCAATTCCTTCCATTTCCTCCCCTTTAGCTAACACTATTGGTGAACTCTGCCCATTTTCCTCTCCTCCATCCTCCAAAGGCTGGCCATGCATCCTGCTGGATATGTTGTCATTTCTTTCCTTGATGACTACCGTCCCCTCTTTTCTGGCCTCCTTTATGTATGCCTTTGTGCAGGAAACTGATAGGAGTTTGGCTGAAATTTTTTTTTTTTTTGGTGAACTACACTGGAAGCAGTGGGAATGAAGTGCTCACTCCCCTTTATAAAACTCTGACCCTTTGTGTGTCTGGAAAGAGCCATTTCTAAGGGTGCAATTGCACAAAAAGAGCTAAGTGTAATGATAAATATTAAGCCACCCTTAGCAGTGTGGGTAATTTTACTTGTTACATCCTACAGTTGCAAAGAGCGGGGATGTTGGTGAGATCTTTGCTTGCTCCCCCACTTTCTTCACATGCATGTTTGGCCTTTTGTAGTAAGTCTGTGGACTGAGGCATAGCAGGCCAACAGCGTGGTTGTTTGGTGACCATTGCACTCATCAGTTTGGATATGTGTTTCAGCTGGTTGGGGGCTTTGGCTTCCAATCTAAGGATCAAGTATCATGTCTATTTTAGAAATGAAATAATCTGTTACTGAGACTCCAACAGCAAGTTTTGGGTCTACCTCCTTTGCTGCATCCCTCATTCTTTAATTTAACATTATTTTTCTCTCTTCAGTCAGATTCTCTACCTGTGTTCAGGTAAAGCTCAGTTGATTGCCCTTGGCAAATTTCAGCCACTCATCTGAGAAAGAAGGTGGCCCTTTGAATGTTTTTTGTGTGATACAACATATCTAGTGCATCAGTGTGCTTGCAGGATTACTTTTATCTTGTCAGCATGGTCAAGCTCTTTAGAAAACATTTCTTTCTAATTATTCTGATTTCATTTGTATTCTGGAATAATTTTGAGAGTGATTATAATAATGAAAATGCTTTGTAGCTCATTAGTGACTTGAGTTCTGTGAGGAGAAGCTGCTGCTGCCTGTCATGCAGGGAGACCTGGTGATCTACTCTAGTTTGGTCAGAAAACACTATTTAAAATATTGCCAGCAGCAGGATCCAGCAGAATTTATTTTACTTTGTCACATTATTCTCAACTCAGAAGAAATATTGAATGTTAGACCTTTGCTTGGTATTCCCTGTGTTACTTCTAAAGAGGGCTGTGGGGGAAGATCCATATCAAGTATGGTTCATGGCCATAAACTCCTAAATATTCTGCTTTCAGTTGTCATGATCTTGGTTATTTATGGAAAGAAGGCAACTTTCATGCTGAAGCCAGAGGAATCATGCATGTATTGGTGTCTGACCTCTGTGGGATTCTGGAAGGACTCTGTTGGATTTACCAGCTCTGTGAGAAATTTATAACCCATTTTGGAGTCTTAAGTGGTAGCTGTAGACTGGTTGGACCTGGTCTCTGGTGCTCCCTCCCCAGCCTCTGCCTTTTCTCTGTGACATTATGGACAGGATGGCTGAGGACATGTCCCCAGGCAGCCACAGCTCCAGCAAGCTGTAACCCTCTGCCAGCAGGTCCAGAACCATGCCCAACTTGTGAGTGTCTTTTGGTCTCTGTGCTTTGGCAGTCTGTTAAATCTTCTTGGAGAATTACCATGGAGTTATTAAGTCTAATTTTCGTTTTTCTGAGATGCCTGCATCTCAGAAAGAAAGTTTTTGTAACACCAGCAACTCCGCTCATGAAGATTGCTATTATGAGTAAATGGCTGTTGGTCATGACATGGGTTAAGCACAGATCAGTGGCCTAGGCATGAAAGGCTCCATGCTTTTCGTGCTATTTTTGTCAGTAGCCTAATAGATTGGCCAATCTTTTTCTTTAATATATGCACATGAACACTTTTATTAGTAAAAAGTCCCCCACAACTTAAAACATTTGGAAGAATGAGAGGTGGCAAAGTGCCCGTCGTTGGTCCTCCTTTCTGGCATGACTAGCTTGCTGGCCTTAACTTAGAAAGCAAAGTGATGAGATGAAGCATAAAACATGCTGTGTTTTTAAACGTGGAAAAGATGAGAACTGAGTGCCTCGTGTGTTGTATGTGAAAGCATTCCTCTGATGGTGCTACATGTCGCTCTGCCATCCTAATTTGCTTTCAGAAGCCCCCAGTATAATAATTCTTTGTGTTTCCTAAAGGATGTGAAGACTAAATACAAGTTTGGTCAATGGTTTCATTGTTGATTTCTCCCACTGCTACAAAGCAATGCAAAAATATTAGGGACAGGCAGGGTGCATCTCACTGAATAAAGATATTGTGTCTCTCATCATCCAAGTCAGATGGCTTTAAAAAAAGAAAGCCCTGTGAAAAGTGCTTACAAGGCTGTTTGGACAGTAGAAATCTTTCGTAAAATGTAATTTCGGCATCTTTCCCAATGAGATCCTTCATGCAGGAGGGATGGCCGGCATTTTGGAAACAAACCCAGCCAACATTAGGTTTGGACATCTGCTTATTTTAAGGTTGCTTTCACAATTTTCTCTGTAGCTGAAGATTGGTACTTGATGTCTATGTGAAAATGTTGCCAGAAAAGCAATGAGGTTATGCCAAGTGTTTCTTTCATGAATGTAGCTTCTTAGAAATGACCACTTCGTTGGAAAATCATCTTGTTTGCATTGCTTTCTTGGCTAGAAGGATGAGAACTGTTTGATCTTGTTCTTGTACAAAGTTATCCTAAGTGAGCAAAAAATGTTTCTTCAATCAATCAATGTAGCTTTAAACCAGGGTGATCTCTTGACTGAGTACATTTAGACTGAGTGATGGCAGGCTTAAATGGCATTAAATCAAGTGACTTGTGAGGAAGGGGTAGTCGTGTCTTTTGTCTTTGCAGGTGGCTGAAGGGGGTTGAATTTGAGAGAAGCTAGTGCTCAAATTTTTTTTATATTTTCTTCCTCCTTGCTTAAATTACCCAAAGGGAATTAAAACATACCTTCTCTTATTTCAACAGGGACCAGCTCGCATGACATCTGATCTTGCGTCTTCTCCTGCAGCAGGATACATCCCTGTTGGTCAGAAACCAGAGGCTGTTGTGCATGCTATGAAGGTGAGGATGCTGCAGATCCCCACAGGGCTGTAGGGCTGTGCTGCACAGCGCCATGCAGTACGGTGCCGTGTGGTGCAACAGACTTCAAAGTGGGAGAACTGGATCTTTGCTCTTCTCATGGAAACACAACGAGAAATAGAAAGTTCGTACTCAGGCAGGTTGTCAGTAATAGGCACCTGTATCATGATGAATAATCATTGTTTCACATAGTTGTGGAGTGAAGTAAGAGCTTGCGTGACTATTTTTTTGGGTGGGAAACCTCCAACAAAAGCTGCTGATGCTGAAGGTGTTGGTTACCCTTTCTTTTCATCAGTCCTGTGTAAACTGGGTCTCTGGGTTGACAGTGGTGACTGAAATGCTGTTTTTAAAAGGTACACAAAAACTGCAGTTCCTACATAGATTTTGTTATTGAAAATCCTGCAGCAGTCTTCAAAGGAGAGAGTCTTTATTTTATGTAAATGCACAGCAAACCATGGCATCCATGTAGATATGTGCATCATCAGTGGGGATTAAAGCCAGGAGCACTGGCAATAAAAACTGTGGGACACTGCTAGCTGAGTTAAAGGAAAAAACTTGCACTGTGATTTCACAGCCTTTGTCAAGTCCTAGTGACCATCCATTAGCAGGAGAAATGTAATACCCTGGTATTTGTTACATGTTTAACTAGTTCAGCAAGTTACCTCTGAGTATCTAAGGGACATGAATGCACAAATCCTTTCCAAGGTGCCATAGGGGTGGCTGGAAAGTCTCTAAATTAGGCTCTGGCTGGAATACACTGATTTCTAAATTTAGATTTGTTGAAGCTGTAAAATTTTGTACAGGGTTAAAAAGCTTTCATCAAATCAAAGGATGGCTACTCTGGAGCTAAGATCCCCATAGTCAGTGCTGGAAAAAAGGTTCAGCGGTGGCATTGATACTAACTTAGCCTGTCCTAGACCTGGAGACTGGTGCTTACAAAGCTCTTTGCTTTGTATCTTTCCACATCTGACAGCTAAATAAATGACACAGTTTTTACTCATAGCTTTGATCTACAAGTTAACTAATTTTTCTTGGGTTTAGTGTTTTCGTCTTACTTTTTTGTGCCTCTCCAGGGTCTCTTGACTCTAGGAGGTGGCACGTGGTGGTGGTAAAACTGACAAGTGTCAGGAGAAGCAGTAGTGCAGCTGGCAAGGATGTTGGTTCCACTGGGCAGCTGCAAGATCCTTAGTGGATATTGAGTGTCACTCTTCCTCAAGTAGTTCATCTTCTATGTATTTATGGTGTGTGAGGAATTACAAAAGACAAGTTTGGTTTGGATCAAATTTTAATTTAAATTATAAAAGATCCTTCAAGATGAAAATCTTGATTTTTCAGCTCACTTGAGGCTTTATATACGCAGATTCAATAACTCATTGGATCTGAAGAGAAGTGTTTGTAGCACCTTCAAGGATTAAAAAATACCTTTAGTACAGTTTTTAGTAGTTCCCAAAAGAGCCCTCACCACACAAGTGGCAGTTCACTTGTCTTGGTGTATTTGTCCTGCGTTTTCCAGACAAGCTTCTTCTTTGCTTGTTGTGAATGGTTCTGTGCTATCAGCGGGTTGTTGTGCTCCATCCTGTACTGTGCTGCATTGCACTTGTGACATTTCTCCTGTGTATATACGTGCATACGGATCTGCTAAACTGGTGCCTTGAAGAACTCATATGATACATTTGTTTTTCTGACACTTTGTACTAATCCAGTTTTGCTTGTATTTAATCATCCAAGCCCTCATACAGTCCAGACTACTGCTGTTGCCTTTTTCTTCCCAAACTGTGAGGTTCATACCTTTCTGCTCCTGCTCTTCATTGCATTTGGTGAGGTGGTGGTGAGGGACAGTATTAAGCAGAGTTGATAATGTTTTTAGGTTACAAGATCAAATAGTTGTAAATTGAGTATGAACACATTCTGGGGGGAAATTGGGTTCCTATTTGCTTTAGGGAAGACAGGACTGAAATTCTCAGTAAAGGCAAGAAACATAAGTGGTTTTAAGATGCAGTTTGATAAGCTTATGGAAAGGATGGGAAAATGAATGAGGAAGATTCTTGGAAACTGGAAATTAAGTTTGGGAGGTCTGGTGCAATGATGCATGTAAGGGGGTTGAAAGGAAGTTGGATGACTGCTTTCTTGCACATATTGTTGTTGTTAGTAATGTAATCATCATCATCATCATCATCATCATCATCATCATCATCCTCTACTTCAGAGGCTTATTGATCCCTAGGAAGGTCTGGAAGGAATCTCCTCAGCATTTTCATAATTTGGCCAATGGGGTATATTTATTTGTCTGTTTTAAAAACCCTGGAAAGTGCCATGGCTGGGGTACAGTGAACAGGTGGCATAGCAGTCACATCTCATGGGGCATAAATGATCTCATGTGATGTGTCCTGCTCACACACTTAAGGTTAAAAATATTCTCACATTTGAAGCGAGGAGGAAATTATCCTGTAGGTCAGTGTGGTGGGGAGGGATGAGAAGATGTTTATTTTTCCATCCTGTAGCCCGTTTCCAAAGGTCAGCTGGAAGTTGAAAAGACTGAGTAAACTGGTCATGGTCTTGATCTCTCCTCTTCCCTCTTGTGGCACAGTGAAATTGTGGCTGCTGGTCTCCAGCTGCAGATCTTAAACTGGGTAGAAGATAACATCTTTTGGCCACAGCGTGCTATAGCATATGGAGTAGGTCTTATTTGCACCCTGCAGAACTGGGCAGCTTTTCCAGTGCCAGTCCCTGCATGTGGGAAACTGGATGCAGCTACCAGCTTAGACTCTCACCACCTGTGATATAACTCATGACCTTCCCTTGAGGAGAAGAGTGTAGCCTTCAGATAAGACTTTGCATTTTGGCTATACCACATCAGATAATAGAAAAAGCCCTTCTTGGTTGTGTAAAGAAGTCCCATGTCTGTACCAGGCTACCTCCTTACCACGAGGAAAGGAGAGGAGAGATGGAAGTTGGCGTTGCTTGTCTTGTGGGGTGTTTGCATGTGAGTCTGTCCAGAAGTGATGTGGCTGCAAGATGTGGCTCTGCACCCAGGCAAAGGTCACTGAGGGGCTGGGCACTCTGCATGGATCCACAGGGCTTCTGGATTGCCTCTGTCTGCACCCATCTATGTAATCTCCCCTAGGCTTTTTCCTTGGCTTTTTCTGGCAGCTGAATGCTAGCTATGTGGCTGAAGCATTGCCTGCCATTTAGTGTAAATTCTTTCTTGAACATGTTTAGGGGTTTTCTTTAGTTTTGCTTTTGAAATAGTTTTTGTTTATTTGTGCCTACTAAATAAGGAGCAAGATGACAGGTTGGCACTCCTAACAGCTGTTTTTGTTAACGAGAATAAAAGGTACATATGCTACAGCTCAGTATCTTGGTGAACATCAAAGCATATTTCTTAGGAATTGAGCAAACCTGCTGAAGACGTGGGGAGGTGAGGAAGAGAAAAATGTAAGAGAACGATGTTTAACCTGTATCCCAACTCCCCCTGTAGCAGCAGCCTGTATCTCTCCCATGTTCACAGAGTCATTGAACAGGTGATTAGTCACTTGTAATAATCTTGGATATGGCAGGATTCGGCCCTGCCAAAAAACAGGTAGAAGTCCCAGCAGGGCACATAGACCGTTCCCTTGCTGAAGCAGGATGCCGTGTTCCTTAGTGCATTGTCCATTTAACTTATAAATCAATAAAATCAGTGAGACTTGCACCCTTCAGAAAGCATCCCTCATTCGCAGGGTGCTTTCTGGTACAGAAATGCTTACCTCAACTTTCAACTCTCTTCCAAAGCTGTACTGCAGTCGTCTGGAGTTTTTGGTGGGTTTTTTTGTTTGTTTTTTAAATATGCATTCCATGGTCATCTGGGGCCAGTACAGCAAGTCAGAAGGGAGGTGGGTATGATGGACTGGGTGACTTTGAGGTGACACTGCCTTGGTCACAGACATCAGAGCAGTCATGAAGGACAACTAAATATACCCAAGGCGTTCCTCAGAGTTCAGGTGTTGGCAGGGAGAAAGCCAGATGAGCCAGCATGCTCATCGAGAACAAGTTGCAGGTTCTTTGGGAGGTGGCGTCCCCGGGCAGAAGAGCAGCATTACCTGGTCCAGCCCCATCCCCCTGCACAGGCCATCACCCCATGCCTGAGCAGAGCAGGCTGCCCTTGCTGACCAGTGTTTTACCCAGGGAGACCACATAGCACTGGTGCATCCGTGAAGGGCCAAGTGCTGTCAGTGTAGTGTGATGAAGAGCAAAAAGGAAGGGATGGCATGATCCACTTCGAGCCTGGGGTATACTTGTCTGTTTTCCTTGCGCTCGTGGGTTGGGATGGAGCTGAAATCATGGGAGGATATACCTCAGTTTCTTAGATCCACACTGAATCCACAGTTCTTGATCTTCAGCTGAGCCATAGACAATTTATGTGAAGGCACGTGTATAGTCCTCAGCGGTGTAACTGGAGGAACATTAACCTGGTCCTTCTAAACAGCTGAGACAGTGCCTGGCAGGATCTGAGAATGGCTGGGGCTCGGTCAGCACTAAGAAGCCTTCCTGCCTTCAGGAGGCAATTTCACCCTTCAGAATGTATTTTTTTTCCATCATGCATTTCCAGGACAGGCTGTTGAGTTTTAACCCCCTGAATCCCTTTTTCCCATACCCAAGATGCTAACACATCTTTACAAAGTGCCTGCCCAGATGTGGGGTGGGCCTGGGGAGCAGGATCTTTTCCAGGGTAAATGAGTCCCAAGTCATTCAGAAATTAAATGTAACCATAACTTCTGTCTGATCGGCTTTTGGCTCCAGCTCTGCCTCCTTAACACCATTAAAAGACACATCATTGAAAGAAAGGGGCTGCATCACCCTTCCACACCTCCTGAACTAGGGAATGTGGTTTTAGTTTAAACAAGTAATAGAAACAGTTTATTTTTGTCCGCTGAGATTTGTGCATGGCTGATGGAAACAGAGGCTGAAGCTGATGTGATCTTTAACTAATCTAAACCGTAGTTGTCCTTGACACTTGCCCTGTGGACACAGCCGGTGTTTAGCTGCCAGCCAGCCAGCCCTGGTGCTCTGCACGGGGATGTGATCCTGCAGGCTGCTGCCTTTACAGCCAACCATTGGAGGCACACTGACTCCAGACAAGTGAGTTCGATGTGCGAGTCCAGCTGGATCAATAATTAATTCTCTCCTCTTTAGCAAAAAATAGATGCTCTCTTTGTCAGCACATACATGATTTTGCATCCCTTTTGCCCTTCCTCTCCCCTTAGAAAGGATGTGGATAATCCATATTTGTGCAAAGACTGGTTCCAGCTATGTTGGTTAAACTAGCTGGTGTGTTTTAGAAGTAGGTTAAGGGCCCCAGGAGAATGACCTATTTTTGTTTGTAACGCAGTTCAAGTACAGCTGTACTGAGGCAGACCAGGGTTAATCTACCCTGTTATCCCATTTCGTGGAGCAGCCGGTGCTGTATGCCTCAGCAGAGGGTGAAACCCATCTAGCGCTGCATCTGGCTCTGTTCTTCCCTGGGAGGTGTAGGAGTATTTATGCTCACAAATACGCCTGCTGTACTGCTTTATATACATGTGGATGTATCGTGGTGAGTAAGACCATATGCTGTTGATGGCATTGGATGACTCCAGGAACTTTGACCCTGCACACTGGGCTGAACATCTTTCTCATCAGTGGCAAAGCCCTGGGTGAGGTATGTAGCTCAGCTGAGGCACAGCAGTAAAATCTTGAGGCAGTCCTGCGTAGTGATATGCCCAACTCGTGCAGCATGCCCATCTGGAGGAGCTGTCTGAATGCATGCATGCGCTATGGAGGGGGTATCCCGTGGGTCACTGTGTTTCCAGAGGGAAGCAAGGGCTTCCTTGAGCCCCAGGCAGCCTCATCTCTGTGATGGAGGCAGCACCGGGGCACAGCCAGGCCCTGCTGCCCTGGAGGTGCTCTGGGACAGTGCGTGCCCCAGGTGGGATGTGGGGGCTGGCTCCCCACTGCTACAGAAGTGTGGGGTGTGGGCAGCGCGTGGTGGGATCCACAAACCACATAGACCACATGTGTGGCCTGGGGATCAACACTTGGGGAACATGTCTCCAAGTGCTATTTAAAAGAAAGAGTTTAAAAATCAGACTTTCTCCATTTTTAGACATTGTCAACCTGAAATCTAAGAAAATAAATCACAGGCAGGACATTTCCACTGTTTTTTGCTGTGTCCTGAGCTGCTTTCACAGCACATTTACTTGTTTTCCCAAGGCAAATCTGCAAGTGTGGCCCAGCCACCAGGCTGAGTGGCATCCAGGGGGCCCATGAACATGAGCACTGGACATGTCAGGTCTGGGATGTTGGTGTGGAGCTGCAACATCTCTGTCTCTGCAAGGAAACCTGGTTCTTCCCAGATCTGGGGGTGCCTGCTGGAGTTGCTCTCTGAGCCACAGAACATAGCCTCCTTGGAGAATCTCAGATCCTTCACCCTGCCCCTCTCAGGCTATTCCTATTCTTTTGCAGCCATGTCTCCATTTTTTGCAGTGCTTTTCTCCTGTTAATATCATGGGAAAAGACCCCTAGTCATGAGCAGGAGGGAAAGGAAAAGCAATGCCCCACTCCTCCAGAGGCTACTGCAGGCAGGGTGCTGCAAGCATGTCTCTGGGTGTGCTGCCTGTAGCCAGGCACGAGAGGAAAGTCAGCAAACCAGAGCTGCTCCTGGAGGACCAGACAGGCCTGGCACCAGCACTTTGTGGTTATGGCCTGTATTCATCAGCATTTGTACCTGCTGAACTCACTGAGCGGCTGGTGAATGTTCCCCTGTGGCTGCAATCCTGGGTGTTCAGGGGATGTGCATGTGTGCCAGCCCCGGCCAAGGGCCACCTATTCCCTGACCTTTATGGGGCATGCGCTGTGGGAAGACACGGTGCTGATGGAGATTAAAGTAAAGCTTGGGGAGTCGAGGCGATTATCTCCATCTTCAGAGGGCGTCTGTAGCACAAGGAGAGGGTGACCCAGATTCCTCACGGCATTCAGCACTCGGTGGGGATGGCGCCTTCAGAGGACTGTGGTCAGCATGCAGGGTCCTGGCAGGCTGTATGTTTTTTTCCCCATCCTGTTCCCATTCCCTTCGCACCCTGGCTGCATCCAGCTGGAAGAGGGAGTGGGTAAGAGCCAGGAATCAAAACGGGATCTCTGAGTCCCAGGGCTCTGTGCTAACAGCCTGTCTCTTTCTTACTGTCATCATGGACCTCTGAGGGGTTCCCTTGAGAAACTGAATGCATTAAAAACAATTTTCAGCCAAAAGGTGAGTGAAATTGGCTGTGTCTGTTTAAGATCTGAAAGTTCATGGCTGATTGGAGACCACACACTTAAGCTGCACAGTGGGTAATACTCTGCTTTTCAGTGGTACAAATCTGTCTGCCTCTTTCCCTGATGGTTAAAACCCTGTTAGACCTAAAAGCTGCTGGCCTAAGCTGACCACAGTAGCCTCATGACTGAGATTAGTGGAAGGGAGTGGAGAAGTGCCAGTCCTGCGAAAGAGGGGAATGGAGGGAGCTTGACTTGCTGGGGGATCTGCCTGGAAGGTGGGGCCACCAGCAGCCTTCCTGGAAGAGATGTGTTTGTGTGCACAGGCAACTCGCTGCCGATTACCAGATGGTCCCCAGGACTGTGATGGCCCCACACCATGCAGGTGGTAGGACAGAGGCATTCCATCACCAGGGAAGGGAGAGGATGGAGGTGCCCAACCTAGTGTCATGCTCTGACTCTCAAAGCTTTGTGAATCCTACCAGTTTAAATACTAGTTAATGAGGTTGTTAGTAACACTTAATTATCTGAGGAACATAATATTTCTAATACTGTTTTTTTGTAGGTCCTTGAGGTCCATGAAAATTTGGACAGGCAAATGCAAGACAACTATGAAGAAGACCTGAGTGAAAAGGAGAAGGCGATCGTTCGTGAAATGTGCAATGTAATAACTCCTCTCAGCATCTCTAGGGGTTTCTTTTGTGGTCTTTTGTTAGAAGTACAGAGGAGTAGAGTTCTGCTGTGTACAAGCCCTGCTTGATGCAAGAGCCACAGGCATGAGGAAAGAGTGGAGGCTGTGCTGGCCACCGCTTTGGGTATCAGTAACCTGGGTGCCTCGTTCCCCGCATGGAGCAACCTTTGCTCAGCAGATATTTCCCACTCTGCTGCCTTCAAGGGTGCAGAGTAGCTAGCCTAGCTGACAGAGCTGTGCAAATGTCTCTTCCTGGCTTGGAGAGTCCTGTTAGTAGTTGACTTCAACTGTGTCCTTAGGGACTCAGTTTGGGCTGAGCAGCAACTAGTTGCTACTTTAGAGCTGTACAGCTTGAACGGGTTTGAGCCTAAACCATAAGATAACATGAGAGAGAATATTCATGTCTGAACAGCATCATAGTATGCAGGTGCCTATAGCACTACCAACATGTTGGTCAACCACACTGTTAACTGAGCTTGCCACGTCCTGTACAGTGAACATTTGTACCAAACCTCTCCTTGGTGGTGTCTGCTTCTGTGGCACTGCCTCCAGCTTCAAAGCACTTTGGCCATGCTCTAGCTTTGAACAAAGAGTTTGGGAGTTCTGCTAGAACGTGGCTCGATGCACGTTGCCTGCAGTCGGGGATCTGCCATTCTACAGTACCGGCAGTGCCCACAGTCAGGAGGAGGAACTTTATGGAGCCTTCTCTTTTGGAAGCCCACACTGGAGGTCAGCTCAAGTGGCATTGTTTAGTGCCTCACAGCAGCAGAGAGGAGCCCAACCCTCCGTTTAAATTCTGAAAACCACCTCAACCTTAAAAAGGGTGAAAAGAACACAAGTGCATCTTGCAGACTTAAATTCTTGGCAAGGGCTGAGGCACTTCATTTTGGTTGCTGTATCCCTATAAGCAAAGTGAAGACCAAAGTAAATGAAGGCCTGCTTTTTAGGATATTTTGTCTGCCTAATGCCACATTCCCTTGTAGCCATGCAGGGTGCAAAGTTAAAAAGCCATAACTTTATCCTCCCAAATGGACTCATTTCTCTTTGTGTATCATCAGATGTTTTTTCTTTAAATATTAATTTTATGTAGAGTCAAGACAGCTGTGAAGTCCTTTACACTTTCTTATTTTTTAAAAAATAACCTCACTTACCTCAGTGGTCCTAGAGTGATAAAATATTTGTCTTTTTAGAAAGTCATATATATATATATATATATATACACACACACACACACGCATACATGTCTGTATGTGTATATAGATAAAATGTTAATCATTATCTTTTTCATTATTTTTTCTGTTCATGGTAACATCATTTCTGTAAGCAGGGCACAGTTGACCTACCATTGAACTTAGCTTCTGAACCTAGTGTATTTGTTTTATACTATTACCCCAGGCAAAAATGGCTCTAATTTCAAGAGACTAATTAGAAAAATGCATCAATGTTTTCCTTGGAAACTGGTGCACAGATGCCATCCAGTGGCTCTTCTGAGTATTACAGCCCAGCTCTGGGAAACGGCCTTTTTTGACTTTCAGACTGCAATTAATGAAAATACTGCAACTCCTTAGTGGCTTTGCGGTTTTTAAATTCCTGTCTTTCTCCCCCCCGCCCCTTTATTTTTTTCTCACAGGTTGTCTGGCGAAAGCTGGGTGATGCTGCGAGCTCCAAACCCTCCATCAGGCAACATCTTTCGGGAAACCAGTTCAAGGGTCCCTTGTAGGAAAACTCTCCTGGAGGCTGGAAGTGAATGATTCTGTGAAGACTAAAGAGGCAGAGCTCAGCGTTTCTGGCTGCCTGTTCTTTGGGAGTTGGGGTTGAGGTTTTTTTTCAGGGTTTCCTTTTTGCTTTTTTTGTAACAATAGTGTAAATATGGCAGCTAAAGGCCTGATTTCCAGGCTGTGGTGCTCTGGAACTACTGTTCAATGGGTAACCATTCAATAATGCCAGACTTGCATCATTTGTATTGTAGTTCAAACCTGCTTTGTTGTAATGGTCTGTTTCTAGAATTAACTAACTCAAGAGAATTTCTAAGAGGAACAAGAAGACCCTTTAACCTGTGGAGAGGTCACAGTTTATATTGCTCCGGTTCACCTGCTTGTCAGTGATTCACAGCTGGGTTAGTGGCTCCAGGCAGCACCTTCCAGGGAAAGAGGACTTTGAATTCGTTGGCTTACTGCCTGCCAAGCTCCTGAGCTGCTAACACTTCTTTTGGAGGTCCTTATTTTGAAGAATGACATGCAGCTGTTTTCACAAGGCGCTGTGTACAGTATTGAGTGGTGAGCTAAAAACACTAGTACCACTTAGTACATTGTACGGTGGTAGTCACCACGCAAGCATACAGAAAGGCTTAAGATTCTGTATCAGCTGTTAATGAACTATTTTTCATGAACAAATGACACAAGATTTCTGCAGTCATAATGTGAATGAAGTTACTTAGCCACACACCAGTATTCCCTACAAATATGGCAACAGTTTTCCTGTAAAGCTTTAACAAAATAATTCAGCAGAAACTGCCGTCCTAACAGTGCTAATGGCTGTCACAGGGATCTTCGAGAGCAGCTCATCTTTCACATAAGGAAGATTTGGGTATTTCTTTTTAACGTTCTTGTTGATCCCTCACCTATAGCTGGTTCCTGTGTAAGGTAACCAAACAACAACATTGCAGAGCTGAATAAAAGACAGGCTGTTGGGTGAGACTACTTCCTGCCATTCAAGCTTTATTTTTGTTATTGAACCAAAATGAGTGGGTTTTTCTTTCTTCTAATGATTGTATATAAAACAATGGGACTTATATTTTGCTATTGTGGAGTAGCTGCTTGTATAGTTGTAAGAATTTGACCCCCTTTTCCAAGTTGTCACAGCAGCTGTCCCTGTATTTTATTAGCTGTTCTTTCTCAATAGTCCAAGGAAGTGGGGCTTGGTTATTAAACTTACTGGTGTAAAATAATTTTAAAGACAGGCATGTGAAAAGATCAAAGCCTCCTCTTCAAAAGTTGCATCAATTTTAGTGATGAGTTTGAAGATTTAATGACCTCAGACACCATCACTTTCTTCTTACTCTCTGTAAGGATCAGTCAGAGCTACAGACAGCTAAATTAGCTGGACATTAGCTGGACATCCTCTTTAATTAATTTGTTCTACCAGTTGAGTTATTAATTTGTGGTATTGTATTAACATGGAGTGCCAAGGAGCCCATGCTGCAAGTTATGAAAGGAAATTGGTCCCATGGTATACAATAATTTGCCTGGGTAAGGAATTTGGAGTGTCAGAGTGGAGATCTGTAACCAGTAAAAAAGACAGAGAAGGAATACAACCAAAATATAGTAATCAGTAAGAGTAAGCACCACTTTACTATTCATTGCAGAAATAAAAATGTAACAAGTCGAGTAGGTTATTTGAAAAAAAAAAAAAAAAAAAAAATCCAAGAACCACCCCCATACACACATACTCTTACACACTCACCAGTAGTTTATTTCTTACTACTGCCCAGTCAGCGAATGCTGAGCTAGCTAGCTCTAATAATATTTACATCCTATGCAGTCTTGAAAAATCTATTCTAGAGTCTGACTGTCTCCTTTAAAATATGGCATCTTTAGAGGATTCCAGATTTCCTCCTCTTTGCTTTTTGTTTTGACCTCGAGTTTCTGGTTACCATTGATTACTTGTCTTCCTCCTGTACAATTTATACCTTAAGATTTTTGTACCAGAAAAAGTGATGCAAAGCAGAGGCATCATGCTTCCTTAACATCTAATGTCGAACAGAGGTTTACTTTAATCTATCTGCTTGAAAGCCCATTTTAATTTCAGTGGCATCTAATCACTGGATTAAGCAGAGAATTTAAGCATATTGGGAACAAGGTTAATTTACGTCAGTGAATTTTAACTAAAGCAATGCAAATGTTGCCAGCACTTGTAGAGAGTTAATTGTGTTGATGACGTATTTGCTATTTTAGGAGGATATCAGACTAGCAGGTCCTCTCAACAAGACAGGAGCTATACTAATCAGATTACTAATCTCACCAGCTATAATTCTCATTCAAATATTCCTATCAAATCACACTGAAAAATTTATTCAATGACTTCAAGCAAAGCTTGTTTTGTTCCACCTGCAGACCTCACCTACTAGGGAAATAGTGGTACAACGGAAGTCCATCAGTGCTGCAAATCCCAAAGAGCCAGTTTACAGGGTAGCCACTAGTTCAGCTGAACAGTCTTGATACTCTTAGGGTAGATCCAGTGCTTTAAGATTCCGTTTGGCAGCACAGAGCTTCAATGCAAGATGTGCATCGTTGATTTTGCAGAACACCATGACAGCGCTGTACATGGGAGTGTTATGTTGGGGGGTGTTTAGGCTTGCTACTCTACATACTTAGCTTCATTAGAGCTATAAAGTGTCTTCCTGACTAAAATGACACTCAATGACTTCACAGGATGACTTGGGTGCTGCATTTTCAGTTGTCTAAAAAAGATGGTTTATATGCGTATTTAAATTCCCTTACCTATGCGCTAAGTCTTCAGTGAAACCTACCTGAGGAGCTTTGTACGTTATGTTGGAAGGGAGCATCCTATGAAATAGCAGCCATTAAACTGATATATTTGGGGCAGTAGTCCAAGTTAATTTCCTCGAGATTGAAGTCCTGGGTTCTGCAATCCCCTGGCAAAGAAAGCATCCACTGTTTACAAATGGACTTTGCTTGCTTAAGGAAACTAAAATCACATCCTTGACTTTTGTTGGAGTGACTGAAGCAGCGTTTCCATAAGTTTCTGAAACGCTGCGGTGTAACCAGCTTCAGTCGGCTCTTTGCACCGTGATGACTGCTGAGCACAACCTTGTTGAGAATGGCACATTTTTATCCAAATATTAGATATTAAAAGAAATCAGTGTTAAAGTGACCTTTTATCTTTTTAGAAACTGTGGGGGAAGAGTACTACTGATCTTTTTCAAAGTGCATGACTGTAAAGTGATAAAATTGTATATTTTTCATAATGTGGGGAAAGTCTATTTGTGCTGCTTTAGAAATCAGTTTAAAGTTTGATTTCTGTTAAACCTGTGATCTTACAGCCCTGCTATATTTTCTGTATATGATTTACAAAGAACTGGAAAGGTTAGCACCTGCTGTTGTGTATATAGCAAAATTCTTTAGACCTTAGCACGCGTTTTTACCTATTATTGAACCACTCTGGCTTTTTGGGGGAGGGAAAGTAATAGTACAGATTTTTTTGATAATGTGTGTAAAACATTCATTTGAAATATTTTAGTAAAAATGAAGTAAGATATTGATTGTGATAGTGTATACTTCTAGTTGAATAAAATACATTCTTTTTAAATAAACTGATGAATAAGATTTGGGAGACAACTGCTGAAATACCTTGCAGTAAGTATCACAGTTATGAATTCTGAATTAATATGAAAAACCTGGAAATCCACTAAGTTCAGAACCAATTTTATTTGGGTAGGTGTGAACAAAGTAGTCCCATTTATAACCAGGATGTACATCACAGTAGGTTGTTACATTCAGACTTTCACACTTAGAAAATATATATATTATGTACAGGAATTTGCAAATAGGTGTAAACATACAATACTTTAAGATACCAGTACATTCCAAAACAAAAATATCAGCAAGGCAAACACCTCAAAATGATTCCAGTCAGCTAGCATTCAGAATCTCTCTTAAATAAAGTAGCTTTTATGCTTGACATCGTGTTGTTTTAATTATTAGTAAAAGTGAAGTTTCTTACTATAGATCAAATTTCATGGTATCTGGCTATTTTGATAGTCAAAAATAGGCACTGATTTCTAGAAGGAAATTTTCTTCTTACTGATATAATTGAGCCAATATGGCTGGTTTTGCTAGTACAAAGTAATCCAGTGCTGGAATAACTCAAGACAATTTAAACTTAAGTCAAATGTATAAAGTTAGAATAGATACTGCAAAGCTGATTAAAATCTAGAAGCCTATATAACTCACCATAAACAATACCGCAAACAGATCAGCTAAATTTTCATTTCACTGCCTCATTTCTTCATCTAAATTATACAAATTACCCTCCTCTTCATCTTTACAAAGTAGGTTTTGGCTAGCTACTCCTGCCTAGTCAACATAAAGGGACATCGTGCAAATTACCTCATGCTATCTCATCCATGTAGCACGTCCAAGTCCTGCTACAGGTGGCATACCAGGTGGTGGAATTGGAGGTGGCACAGGTGGCTGACCACCTGGGGGAACAGTAGGCGGGGGGTAACTAGCTGGCGGCATTCCCAGCCCTGGAGGTGGATGAGGTGGTACTGCATGAGTTGGAGGCAGTCTTGGAGGTGGGAAGTTAGGGTTGTATGTAGGTGGAGGAGGATATCCAGGAGTAGGAGGTGGAATATTGGGCGGGGGGAATGAAGTAGGGGGCGGAGGTGGAACTGGTGGTGGAGGGTTGGGAGGATAGACATGGTGATATGGTAGATGAGTTGGTGGTCCATAGGCTGGTGGTAAAGCTCCGTAAGTTGGTCCTTCTGTTTTCATCATTGACTGAAGACTTTGATAACCCTCCCCTGACATGTAAGAATTTGTAGTAGACATCCCTGTAATATAACTGGTGGGGGGTGGGGGCGGGGGACGATGTGGCAGAGGTGGAGGTTGATGTACTGGGGCGGGGTGAGCAGGAGGAGGAATCTGGACCTTTGGCATATCTACTGAGTCCACAGTAGTAGATTGCTCTGCCTCTCCCATTGAAACTGAAGATGCCAAAGGAGGCTTGCGCTCTGGAAAAGAAAATGTATTTTTTTGAAGGATAGTGGCTTCTGAATACTTCATATTTTCTTTCAGTTAATATCTCAAAAGAGGATTCTCTGTCTCTGAATGTATTATGGTATCCAGTCAGGCCTTCTTATACCACTAGAAAATAAACAAGCTGCATAACAAAGCTCCAAGTTCAGCTTTTCCCATTCTAAAAGTTAAATACAACTTCCGTTCTTATTACTATTTTTTTTTGTAATTTAAATATTGCTCTACAATCAGCAGAAATTAGCAGACTGGAGGGACAGAATCACAACTAGCAGATTTAAAAAGTCATGGGATCCAAGATACCAAAAATCTTTTCATCAGTGCTTCAATCCTCATTAGTCCAGGCCTCCCTTCTACCTCACTTATACTCCAGGAGGTGGCCTGGGATTCCCCTCTGCACTTCACTTGCCTCTGATGTTGTGAAATACTATTTGAGAATACATGCCAAAGTATCAGGTCTTTAACACTCAGTTCTAAACCCATTTACCAAAAGAAACAAAAAAGACAACCGGAGGGTAAGTAAGAAAGTGTGAAAAATTGCTTGGGACGTGGCATCTGATCAGCTTTGTTCCACTGATTAGTTTCAGAGAACTCAGTACCTGACAGTCTAGGGAAGTTCATAAAAAGGTCAGAATTTACAATAATATACTTGGCCATTACTGGGAAGAACATGCTTTAAACTGACTTCTCTTTAAAGAACTTTTTTTTTTTTTCCCCTCTTAATGCAGATATTATAAAGTAAGGAATACCACTATAAGACTGACCTAACGGCAACATCTCTGTATGGTCATACAGTCAGTATTAAAATGCTCAACTAAAAAGAGTTTAGGGCATCTTGACATCCACCTTGCTTGTATATATAAACATCTAAAATGATGTTCAGTAAGAAAACATATAGAAGCAAATATAGGGCAGTAATTTCCAGTGACATGCAACAACTAAATTGACAATGCTAAACTTAATTTGAGATAAATCCACCTTCTAGTACTTCTGGTCAATAAACATTCTTAGATTCCACCTGTTTTTTTCTCAAAGCCTCAAGAGTTGGCGACTGTTCCTAAAATGTTTCAGTGCTTATACAACAATTTGCTTGTATAAAATTCTAAGAGGAAAATTTTAGATAACAGGGGAATCAAATTCATTACCTGCCTAAATAGGATTTACCTTATCGAAGCAGTCATAATTTTAACAGCAAAATTGTCCCCCAGGACAGCTACATAATTAGATGCAAGGTGGATACGCTGGCTGTGTTACCTATGATTTCAATGACTTCTAGTTCCTAAATTACAGCAGGCAATCATTTCCCCATTTGCTAATTTTCAGAATCACTGTGGATGCAAGATGTGCATTCAAGATTTAACAACTGAAGGAATAATGAACATGATACTTAGAAGAACCCCTTTCATTCTTAACTAGATTTTAACAAATGGGGAAAAATGAGTCTACTATATTTCAGAGCACTGTTTTTCTCTCTTGTAATTCCCTGTTAGAAGCTGTCAATTTACAGTTACATTATGGACCTTACTCTATAAAATATTTATGTCATATTTAAGGGTCACTGGAAGGACAGCTAATGCATCAAGGTGCCGGAAGCACATTTTTATAACAGTACAGTTTATTTTGCAAACATAAAGGTATGTGTGCAGCGTTAAAAGTTCTCTGGCAGATCAAAGTCCTCTTCTGGGACACAGCAAAAAAAGTATCCCACTTATTGTTTAGAAGTTCCAGACCTGCAAAATTTCTGTACTAAAGATGTAACATGGAGGACACCTATAGGACAGTTGCAAGCTACTCTAGTAATATAATATGGCATCTGCCATCCTTTTGAGAATGTAAGTCCCTTTTTGGCTGCTACTGACAATTAGTTTTAGTCTTCCAGGCCTTTAACAGTCACAGCTTTGTTTTGCCTTTGTCCACCTATTATAGTCTTGTTTCCATCATAACTTTGTGTCTCTCTGGAAAAGCCTGTGCTACTAAGATGAAATTCCTTCTAGAGCTTACCCACCTAATGCTTTTACTTGCCAAGCTGATTAATCAAGGCAACAACCCCTGCCCCCACACTGTTACCACCATCTGAATGAAAAGCAAGGCGATTAACAGCAAGAATAAATGTGCTGAAGAAAATAAAAGCTTACCTGGAGGTGGATGTGCAGGAGGTATTGGTGGATGTGAACTTTCAATTTTAGGAATTTTAGATGGTGGTGGTGGTTCTAAAAAACATTTGAAAGTTCCTAATTGGCTACTGCTCTGCAATACTTTACAAATTTAGTCTCATGCTAATGATTATCATATCATATTACACTATGCAAAAGTACAGTGGAAATGCTATGTACTGGGTATACTTAATAAAGAAAACTAAAATCAGGAACACATGCCTACAAGTTCAAGCTATGTATTTTATAACTAGAGACAAACTGTTCCAATAGAAGTATGTAAGTGAAGATGAGCACGTATACATTTTCTAGTATAAAACTGTAACTTGTAAAAAGTTAAAACAAATCTCAGAAATTGAACTATGCTCTGCTAGGGGAACGTGTGTCTAGAAATCAAGCAAAATGGCAATTGCACCATAAAGAAGAGGGAGAAGAGACAGTTCTCTGCAATTTAGCTACAGAGCCAGAGAGGGAGAAGTGCCAGACTTAGGAAACATTACAGAATCACATCCTAGCATTTCTTAAGCTAGACTATATATTGATACAAAATGCCTTTTACTGTCAGCCATGCTAACAACTGACTACAAACATCACTGATTACCAACAGACTTATTATTAGTGCAGCTATTTAATGACATGGTACCTTCAGTCACTTTAAGATCCTACAGCTTGCTGAAGAACTACTCCAAATGATGCATGGAGTTATAAATTGAGAGCTGAGTAGTTTAGCAAGACTTCTACTGAACAGACTGTATTAAGGGACTCTTGGGGCAGTTATACTCCATTTTTTCAGGTTTTGCAGTTACAAACACTTTAAATATAGCTACCGTATATATTTAAAGATGCATTATTAGGATCAAAATAGTTTAGAACTGCAAAGCCTGTAAGCAAACAAACTAAGCACATGTCAGCAAATTACTTACTCTGGTTAAAACAGTAAAATGAAAACAATATGAATAGAATATTAACATTTACCTGATGTCTTTGTTTCTTCTTTTGGAGATACAGTCTGTTTAGAAAAGAAAAAAGAAAAAATATGGAAGTAAGACAACTGCAAAATACAAAGCATTTTAAAATGATAACAGCGAGCAAAATAGGAAACAGTTCTGAAGAACTTTTTACAGATCTGACTAAACCAGAACCAGCTTCCAACTCAAAACCAGCTTCCTCCTCCCTGCCCTAAAAGGAGGCAGGACAAACCCAAAACCTTTATTTGCTTCTCTATTTTTATTAGGAGGCTAAAATCTCTTTAGACAGATGCAACACAAACACTGAACAAAGTCAAATCACACTGGGAAAGCCCAGATTAACTGGCAGAATGAAAAGACTGAAAAAATAGCAATTTTAGATACAGCATTTCCTGCTGTTCTCACTGTTAAGTATTACATCTTGCTTAATTTATTTATCATCCTCTGTATATACATCATGCTCTGGTGCACTGCTCACTGAGCTGAAAGCAACAGACTTGGCTTCTGTTCCCAATTCTGCTTTGACCTGTCATTCAACCTTTGCCAAAATCACTTCAGGCCTTTATGCTTTATTTACCAGGACAGGAGGGCAGTGAAAGTGTTGCTCAGTGTAAAACATTTCAGAAGTCTTCAGATGAAAAGCATTGTATAAAAGCCAAATGTTATGCCAGAAAAAAAAATTATGCACACTGAGCAAAACCCACAAAACCTCACATCATCCTTCCAATCACAAGCTTTTGGTTGGGTTTTTTTGTTGTTGTTACGTTGTGGGTTTTTTTAAAGAATCACGGCCAAGGGAATAAGAAAAATCTTTCCAGCTTACTTAGTCCAACTAAGTTGTCTAGTTGATGGTCTCTGAGAAAAGCAGAAAACCTAACTGAAATTTTAAGTACAATAAGCTTAGTTACAAATGTATTTAAAATTAATGATAAGAGTCAGAGGGGTATGGTACATAAAATTTTCTGTCTTTTGAATGAAAGGTGGTTTTTTTAAGGGACTATTTACCTCTAGGGGCTTTACCTTCATGAACAGTTGCTCAGTTTCCATCACTTTACTTTTCACAGCAAGAATGGACATAGATTTCACTCCAACTTGAACAGTGAATTTTCTTTAATCCTCATGGGTATTCTCAATATTTTTGCTGTCCAATACAAAGCTACCCAAGGCCTGCTTGAGGCTACCTTATTCTTATATTCCTTTGATAATAATTTGTATTCACTTTCAGCCACCTTCTCTGGCTGCTTTCCTGCTTTTTAAGGACAATCTTTATTCTTCCCATTCCTAACATACATACTTTTCTGGGTGACTCTCACACTCCTGCTGTCTTCATTTTACTTGGGTGGTCTTTTCTCAATTTTATAGCACTAAATTCCTTGCCAAGGAAACATAAACTGTATGCAACCATCAGATCTCCCCAAACTTTCAAACAGAAACAAGTCTCTACTACTTACTGCAACATTTAAAAAAAAAAATAAAAATCACACATTCTGGGATGTCAGCTGATCACTTCAAGTGGCAAGCAATTCAGTTATTGTACATTTGTTAACATGAAGCAATGTTCAGAAAATAATGTCATTGAGGTACACTATTAGAATGGAGCAAGAAACTGGAACCAAATACCTTGTGTGACAGAAAAACAAGTATCACAGAATCATTCAGGTTGGAAAAGACCCTTGGGATCGAGTCCAACCATCGGCCCTATTCTACAAAGTTCTCCCCTACACCATATTCCCCAGCTTATTTAAATGACCCAGTTTAAGCTGTATTTAAATTGAGAAAAAAAGAGGGGAAAAAAATAAAATCAAGAAGCAACAAAACCAAAGTCTATAAAAATTTAAATCACTTCTCTAATAATGGCAGTTGCTAAAATAGAGATGAACTTTTTTTTTTGGTGCTTCTACTGCACTGTAGTTTGTATTGCTCCAGTCATGATATCCCAGGGTCAACATTATTTATTAGTATGCAGATTGTTATTTAATACTTTCATAATAAGCTCAATCCATACCACAGTGGAACTGTTCTTTTAGTGCTGTTTCTATGGATTAAAATTGTTCCCATTAACAATTTCTAGTTTAATCAAACTAAATATGTTATTTACATCTAATGATTCACTAGTATATTTTTAGTCAAGTCAACTGAACATTCAAGTCCTCTTCATCACTAGAGATGTAGAGGACATGCAGATGCTTCAGACATCTGGTACGGGTCTGTAAGTCATGGGCCAGTGCCTCAGCTGCTTGAAACTATCTTGGCTCAGTACAAGGTAATGGAGTTACAAGAGTTCATGTAAATGGAAAATCTGGCCTCCAGGAACAAAGTATATTTATGCTTTGTACAAACCAAAGGAGAAGTCATGCAAAGCCCTATTTATAGAAGGAGGCAAACATTTTCATAAGGTTTATGGTACACCTAACTGAAGAACATTTTAGAAATACCAAGTAAAACACATCTTGTTCTAGACTGCTTTCTGGACAAAAAAATTATTTCAGATCATCTCATCTGTTTTTCTCAAATTCATGCTGTTTGTGCTGTTCTCCTACTAAACTCCTACTGAGTTATCCTTTGGTTTTGTATTTGTTCTGGATACCTACACTGTACCAGAACTTACCTTTTTATCTGTACTATTCTCTTCCTTAATTATTAGGTGATGGACCTCAAACTTAATTTCAAGAAAATCTAAGTTGCTCTGATGGCTTGGCCAAAGGTGATTATTAAAGAACAACAGATACTATTCATGCAAAAGGCATCACTTTTCCCCATGACATAGCCCATTAACACATGGGATGGGATGAAATTGGTAGCACTGTGAAGGCAGAGCTTTTACATGAATGAACAAGCATTCATAACAGCTTACAATCAGATGGACACACATAGAAAAAAATCAAATTGTTATTTACAGTTTCTGATGTGCTAATTTGTTCCAGGCATTTTTGTTAAAATAAAATAAGAGTTCCCTGCCCTACAGATTTGACAACCCTAGTAGAATTTGCATTGATGCTAGAAAAAGTATGAAAAGAAATACATACTACCTACAAAGATCTCTCCCAATTTTCAAACTAATTAACACAATCTATCAGCTTTCTATCCTGAACAGCCCTAAAGTTCAGTGCAAGAAGTGTATATTTCAGTGCAGTTTTTTTTCCTCTTGGAGTAGGCTATATCTTGCAATCACAAGACCAAGATTTTACAGAGTTACATTCCAATTCCATTTCATTCTATCATTTGTTGCTTCTTCCTGGGTTTTTGGTTTTGTTTGGGTTTTTTTTAACCCTTGATGTCTGTTCTCTAGTTTAGGCATGATTTAATTATAACTTAGAGCAAAAGCTGTAAAAGCTGTACAAAGTTTACTTCCTAAATTGACTTGTTCCAAAGATTTTACTTCTGAAAACACTCTTCTTACTAAGTACATACAAGGAAATTTGAGCAAAACTTTAACACTTTTTAAAAAATCTTTATAATTTACAAGTAGAAAAAAAAAAAAAGCACAAAAAGTCCAGATTAAAGTCTGAAAGCTTCATTTGAACTTGATTACTATGGAAAAGCACTCAGAGTACTTGTGATATTACCTAACTGCTAATCTACCTTCTTATTTTCAATGATTAGGTCATAATACAGAGTGAGACTTTCACTTATGATGCATTTGTAGGCTTCTACTGTTATAGATTATTTTGAAAGACTTTTGATGTATTTTTAGAAGTCACAAGTCTCTTACATTTGTAAGCAAAGACCTGAGTCAAATAATGTCTTCATCAGCATTGTGCACATCTCTACATTCTGGTATGGCACAAGAGACCTTCCCTAAATCAAGCCTGCTTAATAGCAAAACCAACAAAATTCAATAGAACAGAACCACGAACAGTTAGAACCTTAATAGCTCATGCTGACTTAAAAGTCTCTCCAGTGGTTTTGCCTCAACTAGCGTTAGAATGTGGTATGCGAAAACCATGAAGGCTGTTCTACACTAACATACTTGCCATATAACCAACAGAAGTCTACCATACAAAATTAATCACCAAGCTCACTCTTAAAGCAAACACAAGACTGCTGCACGCTGGCGCCTTTAAATCAAATGGACATCAGATCAGCTTTAAAATAAAATGCAAGTTAAAATTCAAAGTTAAACTTACTGCTGGTCTTTTAATTTGTCTAGGAGGACTTGACTGGGGAGAGGGCTTTTTAGACTGCTGTGCTTGTGTTTGCTGCTGCTGCTGTTGTTGTTGTTGCGCTGACTGTTGCGATTCTTTTTGCTGCTGAGTCTGCGATTGCTCTGAACTCTGAGACTGCTGTGATTGCTGTACTGTAGGTGCCTGGGGTGTAGATTGAAGAGATGGTGGCTGCTGTAACTGGTGAGGAGTATGATGAGGCATTTGCTGTTTTCCCTGTGAGTACAGATCCAGGATCTGATGACAGATGTCTTTAAAAAAAAAAAAATCCAAAATATTACACCCCCATAATGTACAAGTGTTTATTTGGTAAGCAATTACCAACTAAGCTTTTTATTTGATGTTAACTTCAGAAAAATTCATTGCAAATATTACTCACTGTTATAATGACCACAGATTTGACTTTTCTAAAACCACTGTTTTTCAATTTGTACTTGCTTTTCTGAGTTTCTTCTGCCTATGCTGAATAGTATGTAGGTGTATATGCACACCTTCCAGAACAAAGTGTCTTGGTATCAATATTCCGTATGTCATTATTATGCGATTGAAGAGGCAGGTAACTACGTAACAATAGGATAGTAATACAGTAAGAAAGTGAGTGAAAGAAGATTATAAGTTAAAACAGGTCTAGTTAGGCCAGTAAAAAAAGTTTCAGGAAACTAAGTAAAGGACTGGCACTAAATTCTTCTTCCAACATATTAGAAGCTAAAGGTCTGTAAGAAAACACGTAGGACCAACTCATAACCAGGTGCAGAGCGGCACTCAAGGAAAAAAAAAACCTTTCTAGAGAAGCTAAATTAGTTCTTTCCATGAGCATTCACTGATGCAGCAGTAGTAGAAACTGGAGAGATTCCCATTCTACAACCCTCCTTCAGTAGAGGGTCTGAAACGGAGGGAATTCTGTAAAAAGCTGTAATACAAACAGAGCAAGTAACCATTTCAGAAATCATCAGAACTGTAGGGTACTCACCTAAAAGTGGTAAAACCAACAAAGGCTAAACCACCTAAACAGCAATATGAACTGTTTAACTTAAAAATTCCTTAGAACCCAATGCCAGATTGTGACAAGTATCAATTATTAAAGAAAGTTTCTAATGCAATTTATGGAACTAGAAGTATGCTTAGCCTGGCATGTGTAACAGGTAAGTCAGTAAAAATTTTAATGAAGACAAATTAGTGGCCACATAACCACAATTTACTTAACAAGAATCAAGAAAGGTCCTGCTTTATTTTACAAACTTTCTAGGGCTCCCTCCTTCAAGAGGACGAGAGCAGGTGAATATGAGCAATATCTACACACAAACGGAATAGTATTCAGGTATTTGTATTGAGGAAAAGGATCCATAATTCATCCCCTATCAGAATTTACACACAGACCAGAATTCATCCCCCACATAATCTGTTCCTCAGATGTGGTACACCATAAAAAAAACAACCCCAAAACCTAGAGTAATTTGGTTAAAGAGTCAATCATCAATGAGAAAACCTTTGAAACCAGGCTCCATTGGTGCCAGTGCTCACAGAGCTGCTTATTTAAAATGATAAGGGGATAATTAAAAACATAGAAAACACACCCCCCAACAAATCAGGAGCTAATTATCTGTGCTAGAAACTAAACAAGTCGTAAAGGAAATATTCACCCGAAGACTGATCATGGTAACTAAATATGCTTCCAGATTAAGCCAGCCTAATAAGTTTAATTTAAAACCTGGTTAAGGCATAGCACACGTGATCTGAGTTACATACTCTACACATGATTATTTTGAGTAAAACCTAGATAGAAAGCAATCTGCATTTATTCATGACTTAGGTTACAGTTAAAGGAAATACTCCTGTTTGTGGCAAATGTTTTTCATACCTTCCAGAACATCAACAGGAACATCTTGGACAAATTGTTCCCACCACCGTCTATACATCGGTTTTGATGTCCATTCCTGTATTTCAAACTTACACAAACGGCCTGCTAAGTACATAACTGCAACAGCTATAATCTCAGGTTCCCACTGCAGTGACAGTGTAGTGCAGAGACTGGAATATAAAAAAGCAAAGCACAACATAACCCTGAAGATAATTCTGATTGTCAAAGTACAACACCTTAATGTATGACAGCTATAATTAACAGAGTATAAAATCCCACCACACTAACATCTCAGGCAATTTTAATTAAGAGCCTTGTTAAACAACATTTTACAAACTAAACTGTTTCTGCACTACTGCAATCATGAAACAAGGTAATTTTACACAGATAATACAAAGGGCATATGCCTGCAGAAGTAATACATCACATAGGAACATCAAGTTTGGAGTTTAAAAATAGAGACTCTAACACTATATGGGTGTGGAAAAACAGAGAAGACAGCATTATATTCCAAGTGTAGGCAGCTACATTCCACTGTAGTCTTACCTGTTGTTGCTACTCAAGTGTGCTGTCACTGCATTACACTGCTTAGGGAATGATACCCACATTTGAATTTTAGAGTTTCCAAATGTTTTTTACTAAAATATAAACAAGTACAAAAAAAACACAGAACAGCCAGCACTTGTAAAATAACTTGTCAAGCACAATGAAAGTTTCAGATCAAGATGTAAAACCAGGAAAAGGTTCTCTCTTTAATAGCCTTTGTTAGTTAATGCTAAAATAACTGATATTACTGGTATTATTGATATTAACTGAGTAAGTCCCTGTCATAAACTTACTGCTTCCTGATATTAATTTTAAATTAAACAATTTGGGTTTATCTTTTTTCTTTTCCCTTTTATAATTTTTCCTCCACAGAGTCTGTAATGTAAGATTCACTTGAAGTATTTTAGATCCAGCTAGCCAGCTAAGTTTCTGAGAATTCACTGATAAATTTATTATTATGTCCTTAAATGCATCAAAATAGTAGCTGGGAGAGTAATTTAAATTCATTTTCTCTCCAGTGGGCTACATTTAAATTGAAGGCCAATGGGATACTTAAACACTAGCAGAATCAGGGCAGGTGTAAGCAGTAAAAAATACATAAGAACTAGCTCTTAAAACACTTATTTCTTATTACTATTTTCATGGCACTTACTTGGGGGTGTACTGTGGCTGCATAAGAACAGAACCCCCATTCTAACAGCCATTAGTGCAAAGTACAGAATTGTTTTCCCAGGATCCTAGAAATCAAGTACATTTCTAATATAGTCTCTATTAAGTAAACACAAGACAGCCTCTCAAAACCAGAGATAAGTATTATTTGAAACAATCACTCCAACTTCATACTAACGTTTTCTGCAGGTGCATTTTCTTGAATTATTAAACAGCATCTACTTCCAAGTACAGTAGTGTCCAAAGTTGGATGGATACAGAACAGAATTTTTCCCTGACAAACTTAACAGTGACAGTCAAGCTGTATTTTTGTTCCACCTGTAAGATCATCACCTGCAAGACTGACATCAGATGAAGTAAACATCTCTTGACATCCAAATATGCTAAGCAACCTTTTGCTCAAATTAATCTGGAGAGTTTAGGTGGTATCTACAGAATCTGCACCCACACTAGGCTGCTTCAAATTAGACACATGAATGAAAATGCACCTCTTTTTTAATGGTGTTCTATTGCTATAGGTATGACTGTATTTGACATTTCTGAATAGTGAGGCCACTTACACATTTTCTTAAGGATTTGCTATGGAAATTAAAAATTACATTTAACTGTCCTTGGTGAATTAACTTGCCCAGCTCAGCAGAATCCTCCTTAACAAGGCTAAAGCATATCGAGTTGTTTTGCTGTTGGGTTTTTTCCAGTGACACACTACACATGAAAAGTGCTTCTACACACACTCCTATTAATTGATGTGATCCTTGTATTACAAGTCCATTATTCAAGAAATTGCAAATCTAGCACTAAAAACTGTATCCCTCATTGAATTTAATGGCTAGTTTACCATTACCAAAACACCACTTTAAAAAAAAAAATATTGAACAACATGATGGAATTGGGAAGTGACTTCTTTTCCCAGAATGTGTCACATATCTCTGGTTGGGCAAGAAGCCAGCTTCTATCCTGGAGATCTATAATTTGGTTTGGCCCTTTTAAACAGTAACTTTTTTTGATGCAGCACTAAATCATTATCACAAAATTGCAAAGGTCTTCATGGTCTACTTCTATACTTACCCTAGATTCCCTGCTCAATGGACCTATCATGGTAATGATGGAAAGAAAAACTGATGAAGATGATTAAGAAAACATGTAACAACCAGTAAACTTGTAACAACCATTTGTCAAGGAAATATCTAATCCCAAAATAAAGTAAGCAACAGTAACTATTTCACTTTCAAAAGGTTTCCTAGAAGTATCTTACCTGTCATTGACAAACGTCCATGCCATCTGAACTAGTTTTTGAATTTTATTTTTGTCTCCTGGAAAACAAACAAAAGAGTTGTAAGAAATAAAATTAGGAAGGACAAACAGTTTGGAATAGAATATTCTTGCACTATTAATGTAAATTAAGTTCTGAGAATTAATAACAGGCATTACTTTGCTCACCCTGTAATATTTTACCTTTGAGTTGTTTGGCATACTTGAGAAGAAATTGGTATGGATGTTCCACTTGCAAATCAAACTTTATTGTTTGTAGTAAGATTCTTTCAAGGACCATCACTTCTTCCTAGAGAATGTTACAAGGTAACCACAATATTATTCCTTCTTTTATTCACAAATATTTTATGCTGGTATAAAGCACAACTATGTAGCACCTCCATGCAAACATGTTTGTCTGCTTTTGTTTGATTAGGGTTTGTCTCCAAGGAGAACAGAAATCCCTCTGACTTAAAACATTATTTTAAACCCAGATCCTTTTTCTTCACATTTACTTGAGTCAGAAGAGGGGATGTGGTGTTTACAAAAGAAAAAGGAGAAAAAAAAAGTAAAAAACTGGCTGGATGGTCAGGCCCAAAGAGGAGTGGTGAATGGAGTTCAATCCAGTTGGTGGCCAGTCACCAGTGGTGTTCCCCAGGGCTCAGTACTGGAGCCAGTTCTGTTTATTATCTTTATTAATGATCTGGACATGGCAATCAAGTGCACCCTCGGTAAGTCTGCAGATGACACCAAGTTGGATGGGAGTGTTTTTCTGCTTGAGGATAGAAAGGCTCTTGAAAGGGATCTGAACAGGCTGGATCGATGGGCAAACACCAGTTGTATGAGGTTCGACAAGGCTCAACACCAAGTCTTGCACCTGGGTCACAACAACCCCACACAACGCTACAGGCTCAGGGAAGAGTGGTTGGAAAGATGCCTGGTGGAAAACCACCTGGAGGTGTTGGTCAACAGCTGGCTGAATGGAGCCAGCAGTGTGCCCAGGTGGCCAAGAAGGCCAATAGTATCCTGACTTGTGTCAGAAAGTATGGCCAGCAGGACTAGGGGAGTGATTGTTCCCCAGTATTTAGTACTGGCGAGGCCACACCTCGAATATTGTTTTTAGTTCTGGGCCCCTCACTACAAGACAGCATGTCCAGAGAAGGACAACAAAACTGGTGACAGATCTAGAGAACAAGTCTTGTGAGGAGCAGCTGAGGGAACTGGGGTTGTTTAGCCTGAAGAAAAGGAGGCTGAGGGGTGACTTCATCACTCTCTACAATTGCCTGAAAGGAGGTTGTAGCAAGTTGAGTGTCAGTCTCTTCTCCCAAGTAACAAGCAGTGGGATGGAGGAAATGGCCTCAAGTTGTGCCAGAGGAGGTTTAGACTGGATGTTATGAAAAAGATTCTTCACTGATAGGGTTCTCAAGCATTGGAACAGCCTGCCCAGGAAGGGGTTAAGTCCCCATCCCTAGAGGTCTTTAAAAGATGTGTAGATGTGGCACTTAGGAACATGGTTCAGTGGTAGAGTTGGCCACATTAGGTTAATGGTTGGACTTCATGATTTAAAGGTCTTTTCCAACCCAAATGATTTTATGACTGTAAAATTCCTTTTCCTCCATGGAGGAAAGAACTGAATCAGACACGGCATGGAAGTGCCAAATATATGAAATAACAACAAAAAGGTTATCTCTCACCACATTTCTCTCCCAAGTTTCAGATCCTTCTGCTATTTATAAGCAAATTTTGAGAAGCATAGTTTTGCAAAGTCACCCTGAACAGGAAACTTCTCAATACTTTTGAGATGTAGTTCTCTTACTTAAGTTTTGCTATTAATTGCTTCCTAAAATGACATTAAGACTGCCAAATATGATTTATATCTTGATGACACTTCTAGCTCTGACTGAAATCGCTCAAATTTACTTTAATGTGCAAAATACCATCACAAGTTACATGAAATCCAAAGTAAATTTTTTAGACAATTATCCCAGTAGGCTCCCAAAGCTTGTATTAGCAAGAATTATTTTCATAGTTATCTATCCCATTACCCAGAAGAGCCATAAATGCATGCTAAACATATAATTTAGAAAAACTGCAAAATCAACTACTGTTCTAATACATGTATGTCACTTTGCTGGAGTATTCTAGGATTAAATCCATTTCAACATGAGTACTTTTACCTTTGGGTCATCTCCAAACTGTCCAAACTGTACATCATTTAGCAAGCTACGAGCTGTTTTAATTATATCTTTACATTTCTTAGGTGTTTCTTCAACTTTTCCTGCTAGGAAAAGACAGCAGGCTCCTGTCACCTAGAAAAGAAAGTGCTTTCAAAAAGTTGTCTGCATGTACATATGCAATACAGTATAGCATTGTAAAAGCACTGTCATTTTCCATTAACAGTTCTGCAAAAGTTTCCCAGGAAAAACTTAATAGGCATATTAATTTCTAATTTTATTACACTGTTAAACTTTTACTTTCTCAAAGGAAAACTATAATTTGGAGGACTGTTCATTTTACACAACTTTATTTCAAGGTCAGAAACCCAAAGCAGAATTTGTCCTGGTTCAGCATTGTCTGTCAAGCAGTTTTAAGATGGTATTACACTTCTTTTTTTCTTTTAGCCAATAGAGTGTCAGAACTATAGCTCTTAAGTCTTTCTAAAGAACAGTATCAGCAAGACATAACTGCAATGTCAATATAAATGTTTCTAAGCATAAATAGAAATGTGTAAATGAGCAAGAACAGTGTATTTTATGCTGCAGTGATTAAAAGATACAAATGCTTATTTTTCATTATTCAGAGTGGTGGCCAGCAGTAGTACCCAAGTGACATCACTAGTGCAATTGCTGTATTAAGTCATCAATATTGTAAATACTTACATATCTTGGGAATTGTTTGAAGGAATGGAACATATAAAACCGATGGAAATAAATTATTCCGGTTGCTAGAGTATCATAATGTCTGTGGTGTAGAATAAGGACTCTCAAACAGCGCATAAACCAAATTTAAAACCAAATACACACAAAGGAAAAGATATATCAAGTACGGCAAGTAACTGTCTGTTCAGAAACTAGTTAGAAAACACTGCAAGTAAAACAAGAGCTTTAGGAAAAAAAGCCACAGAATCCCTTAAAGCTGTTTAAATACTATGATTCAGTCCAGATACAGTTGATACCCAAAGCATTTATTGGAAGTGTGCAAAGTCCTGATCATGTTTATAGGAGGATCCACGCAAGGTCATCCTCATGTTAAACCATCTCTTTTAGAGAAGGTCAAAACCAGCAGTAGGTACATGAAGGAAGAGAACAACTACCACTTCACATTAAAGTGCTGGTGTGGAAGACAGGTATTAACTTTTCACACCTACAAATGCAAAAAAAAACTGAACATGCTTCCTACTCTTCTCTTTAAGAGCAAAATTTCATCTTCATTGGGTTTTATTAAACAAAGAACTAAGGAGATCAAAACAAGCATAGGAGGAAACAAAAAGTTTAAGTGGCAGTGTATGAGAGAGTGGGACAGTGAGGAGAACTTACTAATATATACAAAGTTGTAAATCCCAACCTAAACCAAAAAAACCCCAAACAAAAACACTAAAAATACTCAGGAGCAAGGAGGCAGAGGTTAGAAGCCTCTGAGGAAAAATATGTAGAAAAATTAATGCAAAATTCAAAATATGAGAATTGCATAGGTTAATGTAGTAAGAGACCAAGTCTGTAACTGCCAAAAGTTATCCCTAATTGGCAAGTCTCTATCACCTTACTTCTTTCTCTACTGCCAAAATGGTTCAGCTGAAACCTCGTTTATCCAATGAACAGATAAAAATTGTGTAGGAACACATTACATCAAATGTCAAGTAAACTATAAAAAAAATTATTTTTGATTAATGATTATGAAACATTTGAACTGCTCACTAATCACATAACATTTCCTGCACATTTATCTCCATTCATAAAGACATTTCACACCAAAGTGAGTTTAAAGGATACAGCCCTAAACGTGTTCCCACATCGAAAATGAATCTAGCCCCCTCTCTGCGGTATCGTGCCTCAGTAGCTGGATCAAGCCCTTCTAGCTGTGATGGTGTATGTGCCAAATCTTTCTTATCCCAGTACCAACATGGCTTTGTATGGTCCAGGTTTGCCAAGTTTACAGAAGGGCTGGAATTTTCTTTATTCTCCTTCATTTATTAAAACAGAATTGTTCTTGCTTTTCAAGTTTTCAAAAAGGAAGTCTTCAGATAGTTGCTTCAGAACCTTTAAGAAAAGTCAAAAGGATTTATTTAAAAATGGAGGGGACTTCCCCCCGCCCTCGCACAAAGATGAGTAAAGAGGAATACTGTTTAACCTTGCGTGTTGTAGGAAGGGACTTTTTCTATGCTCAAAGACATGTAATATTTAAACTTGCCCTTATCCTTCCCACATACTGCAAAGTCAATTCAAAGAAATAGATATAGGTTATCTTTGCTATTACCTGTTTAATAAAGAAACTTCAAGAATGCATTATCAACAATTTCTGCTACTTCTTAAGAACAACTTTCACCTACTTTGTTCACAAAATAAGGAAAATAGTGATGGTAGCAGCAAAACTTGAAAAGTTGGGGGGATCCACTCACTATTCATAACTAGGAAACACATTCATTAGGTCAGTCTGAATGGCAATTTAAATACCCAGCTGGTCTCCCAAATATCCCTGCTGGTAAGATAGCAGCAACCACTTGGCAAAAAACTTTGTAAAGTGATCTGTACTTGTATTACTTGGAAAAAAAAGGTATCGAAAGTAGTGTTCTTTGACATACCAAGATCAAGACAGCTGATGTGAATCTGTAGGGTAAGATGGCATCTAAAGTCATCCCCAAAACAAGTCAGTTGATTACATTAACAGCAAGTGCTACTTTCCTGTGTTTACTAGCACTTCAAGGATGTATACTTATACATCACAAAGCTCTCCAGGCAACTTTCTGGTGTTTGAGTTATGACTGATGTTCAGACATGCCTCAATTTAAAGATGAATTTAAAGACAGAAGACTGTCTTGCTGCCTTTTCTTCTTCAGGCACAAAACCACTCACTGTAATTCAATAAGCTACAGATACTATGCACAAATTACTGCAGTCACCTGCAAAGTTCTGCATAACAAATAGTGATTAATATACGATGCAATCTATTTGCTCAAAGCAAAACAGTCTGAGCTACACTCAAACTTAAATCTCTTAAAGCCAAGCTGTTAATTTTCTGGATGTTCCCCTTCTGACAAGGGAAGAAAGATCACCTAAACTGCTAGAAAAATGATGCCTGCCATCAGCATTTCACTCAACTTCAAAAAGTTTCAGAATAAAGGAAATCATCTTTGTTCCACGTTGGATTTGGAAGAACCTTCACAACTAAGGGTACCAGTTACAAATCAATCCACACTGTCATAAATAAGTGAATGGCTATTTACTTTATCAAGGAATCTAGTGATAGGATGAAGGGTAATGGTTTTAAATTGAAAGAGGGTAGATTGAGATTAGATATAAGGAAATAATTCCTCACTGTGAGGGCAGTGAGGCGCTGGCACAGGTTGCCCAGAGAAGC